TTTTTTTCTTTTTTTTTTATATCGAAGTTCTCATGTCTGTCAAACTTTTCTCTCTTGTTCCTTTAGGTTGGCCAGTGTTTGTCTTGTTTTGTGTCTTCTACTTAAATTTGCTTCCCTTTTGTTGATTCTAAGAAGAGAATGGCTTCTGGTGAATTCACTTGTTGGACTAGATATTAAGAAATCTTTTCACCAATTGCCTTTTGTTTTTCATGCTCATGAACTTCTGCAAAGACATCCATAAATTTAACATGTTGCATGATGGAACAATAAGATTATGCTTAATTTAGTCTGCTATTAGGCTTTTGAATTCTCATTTTGCTTGTGTTATCTTCAAATTTTGTCTGTTCATGGAGTTTGCCCTACTTGTTATGCTGAAACTACCAGCCAATTAATCCATTAAACCTTAGGACAAATTTGTCTGATGTGATCACTATATTAATTCCAGAACTCCAACAATTATGAAGCATATCCTGTGCTGCTTGTTACTTATTCTTGTAGAAAAAATATTTTAGGCTGTGCAGGTTTTGGGACATAACAAGTCACAGTTTTGGATCAAAAAGTTGTCCTTCGAATTCAGATTGTCCTGTTTGCTGAATTCTGCTGACAACCATAAAAACAAGTCCTTTGTTATTCTGAACTAATTTGCAGTTTCCTTTTTCTTGGAGCAAGAAGTAGTTTGTAGCTTATTTCTAGTCAGTGAGAATGATACTGCTTTGATGTTTCTCATGTAATTTTTTTCAAGACATAATTTGCTTCTCAGTTCCTGTTTTGACATGACAGGATGCATCACACTTGAAGAACTCGCCAGTGTCATCCGTCCATTAGGCCACAACCCAACAGAACAAGAGCTGCAGGATATGATCAGGGAGGTTGATGTCAATGGCAACGGGACTATTGAGTTCAATGAGTTCTTCAACATAATGGCTTGGAAAATGAAGGTGATCTGCTTGCGCTTCTTCTCCAAATAATTAACTTCAGCTGATGAACTTAAAAGTTCCAATATGAAATAATTAAGATTGAAGAGATTACAGTACCTGCTCAAAATCTTACAGTTGTGTTCTTCCTGGATTTGTAGGAGGCTGATGCTGAAGAAGAAATGAGAGAAGCCTTTAAGGTTTTTGACAAAGACCAGAATGGATATATCTCAGATTCTGAGGTAATTGTTGGGCAGTGCTATTTTTCTTTATATACCTCTTTCAGCAAACATCTTTGTGTATGATAAATGTTTCGAATGGGTGACCAAAAATCCCAATCAAAACATTTCTCATGGTATCAAATGTTCTAGACTAAAACCGGTTTGCAAATGAGAGGGGATGTTAAGACTTAATAGCTTAAGCATCTGAAATTATTGATCATCCCAATCGAAACATTTATCATGGTATCGGAGCATGTGAAAAATATATCGAGTCATTTCATAACAGCTTAAACTTTTTGGATTATTGATAACCCAATCAAAATCTTCATCAATATATACCAGTATGAAATGAAATCTACATTCACTGAGAGTAGATCAGGTAGCAGCCCTTTAAAATTTCTGAATACTAAATCTTGACTTTGTACTCTGCTGAATTGATGAATTCTGTCACACTAATATTATCAGTTGGTGCTAATTTATTTGTGTATGAATAGCATTCTTTTATTGGATGCAGCTGATGAGTGTAATGATTAATCTTGGAGAGGAAGTAACATATGATGAGGTTAAGGAGATGATTAGAGAGGCTGACATCAATGGTGATGGCCAAGTAGACTTTTATGAGTTCTCCAAGATGATGATGGCTGTCCAAACTAAGTTCTGAAGACACACCGAAGAATGTTGGATTTCCACTTTTATTTCTTCTAAATTGCAGATGAAATGATATAAGTACATGTTTCATATTTTTCATTTATGGTTGTTGTTTATAATATTTTATGGAGATTCAGTATTGGTGTCCCATGGTCAAAACATTTTAGTCCTTGCCTATGTCAACATATCTCTGTCTCTTGGTAGAGTTGCTTAATCATATTAATATGATGAATATTCTCAACCAATCGGGATTTGATATGCCGAAGTCTAATTAGCTCAAAAATGATAAAATAAGTCAGTGAGGATTGTAATATGAAAATATTCCCTAAATCATTATTGATTCAATGTTTATTTACCCAATTGTTTATCATTATAATCTCTGAGATATTAATAGGGGCCTCTTAAGTACCATACAAACTCTTTGGACTGTTTGAATTTTGATAGATTATGATTTGAGTATCAAAGGGACCTCACAAGAAACACCCCCGCTTGAATCATTCATCAAAATCAAAGGAACATCCTGAGCGATCACCCCAAGGAGCTCAACTTGATATCCTTGAGCTCACAGCCTATCTTAGGAAGCTAAGTCAGAAATCTCATATTGAGATTCATACAAACAAATTTGGGTTTACAACTTGACAAGACTTAGCGGACCAGGTCGGATCAATCTCAGTACATCATCATGCTGATGACCAAACAGTCTGCATGTCAAACCTTTCTTCTGAGAGTATATGTCTGCATGCACTTGATTGTATCAAAGTAATCATCTTTCCATAGGTTGATGCTTTTTGCAGGCAAACTTTTAGTTAGCTACAAAGTTCAAATAATAAGCAGTAAAGTCAGAACTCTGCACCTGTGAATGTCACTAACCATATGGCCTACTTCAATTCAGTCATTTGGTTACAAACGTCAAATGACTTATATATTGTTAAAAAAAATACTAAATCAACTTGTATTAAAGAATATTCCTGCATTATCAACTTGTATAAATTATAAATCAATGACAAGTACATTTCTATGATTCTATGATTATTTTTTAAGGAAAAGGTGATCTAGGAAAGTTTGAAATATTGTTTTGACATGTAATCAAAGGGTTGATTACATATTACCCTCTCTGGTTAGATTTCTTTAGCATTTTGGTACCTAGACTTCAAAAATTTATATTGGAATCTTTATAGTTATGAAAGCACGAAAATAATTGGCAAAAAGATAATTTTAACGTCTCAGTTACATTTTCAATGATTGTGGATGGCAACGTCACTGGGAGTCATGGGTGACTGTTATGGATGAAGAGGGGGAGCGATGACAAGAGGTGAGGCAACCAAGTAGATGTCGACGCTCTGCAACTACATCAATGCTACTTGACAACTATATTGGCATCGACACAGATACAAAGCGACGAAAGGGTCGCTCGGCATGTGCATCGACGTCTACGCAGATGCAAATGCAAAGTGCTGCTCAGTATCTACATCGGCGCCGACATAGATGCAGAGCGTTGTCACCCTTCCTCACATCGTTGTCGGCACTGACGCAGATGCAAAGCGATGCCACTCTGCATTTGCATCTGCGTCGGTACCGATGCAAATGCCTAGTGACATTGTTTTGCATCTACGTCGGTGTCGATGCAGATGCTAAGTGCCACTTTCGTCACTCTGTGTCGGCGCTAATGCAGATACAGAGTATCGACATCTACGTCGTCGCCTTATCTCTTACTGTCGCTCTCCCTTCTCATCCATAATGGCTACCCACGACCCCCAATAGTGTCACCGTTAGTCATCACTGTAAACGTAATTAGGACGTTGAAATTATCTTTTTGCCTATCGTTTTCATGCTTCCATTACTAAAACTAACGACGTTAGGATAAATAAAATTAGATATTTTACTTTCATAATTATAGGGATTCTAATATAAATTTTTGAAGCCTAAGAACCGAAATGCTAAAGAGATCTAATTACAGGGGTAATATGTAATTAGTACGTAATCAGACTGCAGATTAGATGTTAAACAATTGAACATGTCCATTGAGGTTCAGAACATTTCGAGCACTAACCAGCAATAATAAAATGATTCATCTGAAGCTTTCCTAGTTTTCAGCAGCAATCAGGTCCACTGTAACTTCTACACCAAATGTGAAAGTCCTGCTTAAGGGATGCAAGGATAGCACTTGAAACATCATAATCTATTATTGAAGATAGCAGCAATCCTCACCTTACACAAACCGCATCTCAAAGCCAAAAATAAAAACCACTGATCTATCATTGAGGATCACCAAACAAGCCAACTTCTGAGGACATGTTCAAGCACACAGATTCTGGGGGCTTTCTCAGTTCTATTTAATGTATATAGTAGTCATATCAGTGTTTTCCTCTTCAATAAGAAATATTATACAGAGCAGTCTCAAATGACATTATTAAACATGCAAGCCAGTAGATTACATGGGCAATGCTGAGGGTGTAATGTCCACTAGCAAGTGGAGTAGGTATTTGAAGCACTAACACAACTTTATAACTTGGTGGAATCTGGCTACTATGACATGCTTCTCATGTTATTATTTAGAGCTCTCTAATCTGTGTTCTAAATAGATAAGCCATGAATTTTTTTGTCATGGTTGTTGCATTAACACATGATGGAAGGTTTCTTTGTGCAGTTAAAGCATCGATTTTTCCAGGATGCTCTAGCAGTAAGATTGCAGCAATAATACCACAGTTTCAACCATTCAACTTCTGCAAAACTCTTTATCATTGTTATATCATGGTTACTGTTGATGTTGGAATCAATCTTCATCCTAATTTTAGGTTTTCTCTGGACTGGTTCAGTTCAGCTAAATTTGAAACTGGAATCACATCGGTTATAGAGGTTCTGATTCCAATTCCAGCTCTGATTAATAAGGAAGGAAACAAATTAAAATACTCTACTAAGATTTGAACACTTAATCATTAGACTTTAAATTTAAAGTGCTAAACACTGCATCATGGAATATATTTATAACTAGCATGGATCTTAAGCTTCAAACCTTGGAAGCAATCATTAATAGCACCTGATTTATTGAATTCTGATAACTCATTGCTTAAATTGGTACTCTTATTATAGACTGATTAATGATTCACATTCTCAATTATTACAATTTTGTTGAGACAGGATAGAAGTTCAAATCAAGGGTTTGTTTATGCTCACTGTCAATTTGAGTCACACAAATATATACCAAAGAGAAATAGTGGAGTTCGAACAAAAAAATACATTGATATGTGAATGTCACAACAGTGTTTGAATGCATTTTATTGCAGTGATTGCTTCAACATTACATGAATCATGCATACAAGTTTGTACAAACATTCTGAACAATTCCCAGTTTAATATAGTTTGTCATTGAAGAGAACCAAACTGCATCACATTTGCACACATAAACAAGTTTGTACACACGCAATGAGTAGTTCAGGTTTTCATCAAGTTTTCTGTCGTCCAAGGAGCCAATCTACTGCTTGATGAGCAATCTTACACAGTTTAAGCTGGAACAGCTTCGCGGAATTTGTTGCCTTCCTGTGTTTCCTTGCTATCGTAGTACTCAACTAATACTTTCCATCCACCAGGGCACATGAAACCATCCGGTGGGTTCTCTCTGTTCTTTGCAAGAGTCCGCATCTATATGATGAAGATTATAAGTTGATAAGTACAAGTCCAAGAGTTTTAAGCATTTTAGTAACATTACAAGAGCATTCTATGTGATTTCAATTAGTACATTCGCTATAAAGAGGGTTACCTTTGTACCAGAGATGAACAGAAAATCCTGAGGTCTGGATGGATCAAAGAAAGCCATTTTCTTCTGCTTGGTGTCATAGGCAGCTACCTGAACTCATATTAAGAAAGAGAACTCTTATAAGACACATCATGTGGACATATTTTATACATAAATTGCTTACATCGCATTGATTAATCGATAGAGTATGCATTGGAAAAAAATAACAGCAAAGATGATCATAAAGCTTCAAATTTAGCAAAAGAATTGGGGCCCTCGTAAATATGTATATCCAATAATGGTATTAATTCTGAAAGGCTATACAGAATATTTGACTACAAAAATTCCTACCATGTGCTCACTATATGACCTCTTATTGTTCCAAACTCCTATAAAGAAACAAACAATGACAAGCCATATAACATGCTAATATATAAACCATACATACATACACAATGCCACAATAGTTATCGAGAATTCATTTACCATCAAAAAGGAGATATTACACAAAATGAAGATAATGGTGATTGCAAAAGCTATAAATGCCAACAATATAAACAATTTGTAGTAAGATAAAATAATGGCATAATGATGTGAGCTTATTTGACAGCCAAAGCAAAAACTTCAAAAGTTTCTCATCTCTTAAAACATGTCATTTTTCACTATTCCAAATTTAACTACTGTTCCATATGGAGATTGAAACTATTTTTGTTTCACTGATATCCTTAAATCTGATCATTGGCAGGCAAGATGTGACTCTAATCTAGAAAAAAAGAAGTTTATTTAGGAAAAATTTTAAGCTATATAACTATTACATGCAAAGAATGACAGTCATTAACTAAAATTTCTGGAAATGTCACAGTACCTTGAATGGTAGGATATTAAGCCTCTCAAGACCAGGAGCCATGCTGAGCACCTTCTTCCCATGGTCAGCATCATAAAGGTCCCTTTTCTCTATCGGGTGACTCATACCTGCTGGGTCTCTGCCCACAATGTAGAAATTTGCACCAGCATTTATACGAGATTTTGCGTGCCACTGCACCTCAGTTGGGCCAGCATAATGCATGGGAGAGGGGAAGATTGCAACTACTGTGGTCTCTGGGTTAAGAACACCATCCTCAAGAACCTATATACATAGAAAACGTGAAGCTATAAGCATTCTTAGAGTGACGATTGGATTATTGTTAGTCTGATAAAATTCAACCAATCAAGTGACAAATTTAGAAAAGGAAATCAATCACTGGGGATTTAAGTCTATTATGTAAATGCAATGTAATGTTTGCATATATGACCTGGCAAGTACTTTACATGTATGCTTTCTACATATAATACTTTTACACATATAGATGCATACTGATCCATCCATCAACATTCACATGCACCAGCACACTCTGAAGTCCATGAAAGCAAGCCAATAAGAACACAGACAGGCTCGCTGTCAGTGTGTGGGTGTGTATATTTTGTGTCTGAACTTATAAATTTAAAATTATGCTACAGAATTCTAACAGCAATATAAAAATGAAGTTCAAAAGGGATATGTATGGAAAAAAAAAAGTTATCAGCAGATTATCATAAGCAGGATTTTTAGTAGTTATATCAGTAATAACCTTCTCATGTTGCTTCATTCTCCAATAAAGTGGTACATCATCGGCTTTTGTGAAACCTCCCAAGGGATGAAGCAAAAGAACTGGGTTTTTATAGCCCATTTCTAGAAGACGCCTACGGGTGTCTGTCATAAGTAAGGCATGACCATTGTGTACGGGATTGCGTAGCTGAAAAGCAAATACCGCATCTGCGTTGCGTCTTGAAAATTCTTCACGAAGTTCAACAGGTGATAAACGATATTGATCAAGACCATCGTTGTACTTAATTCGTTCTATAACCTCTAAGTCTCCACCGATTAGCCAATTTCCAGCCTTTGTTATAGCTTCCTCAACATATGGAAGTCCAGGAGCAGTTGTTCCCCATGTTCTTGCAATTCGTTCTTCTTTGTTATGCTTGTAGATTTCAATGCTAAATTAAAAGACAAACAATAAGGTTTCTTAAAATTTCTAAAACAAAGTGAAATTTACAATAATGGAACTGACACAATAACACATTCTAAAAAACTAGGACTGTGAAATGCAGCTTATTACAAGATCCAGAGAATATCAATTGATATGTTCTTTTACTACAGAAACCTTAAGTACAAAGTTTATAAGCAGTGAGTTAACTATGCCATTTTGGGAGTTTAGACTTAAATACACATATGTATTTATCAGCAAATTTCAATGTGCATAGTAAAGAGAAACCACAGTGTTTGATATGCACAACTCTGGAAAGGAGGAACAAGATCTTTAAATGGGTTATAATCTATCCAAAATGGTAAAATATTAACGGTGTTCTTATAACAAATTGATAAAAAATGGCATGCAGGCTTCAGAGTAGTACACTTTGTAGCTTGCAAGATGTTATTTAAGTTCACTCCTTGTAACTGGTTGCAATGAAGACTTTAAAATGCATAACTTAATAGAATGTACTGTTCACTTTCAAATCAGATCATTTACAGCAGGTACCAATTGCAAGTATTAGACATCTCAGGTAAATCAAAGATTAATTAAAAGTATAGAGAAAATAAACTGAGGCGAAGAATATGTAAAAGAGTCGGAGCAGACCACAAGCATTTGGAAGAACACGAGGGGAAAAAATCAGGCTATTTTCCATCAGAGTCATTTTAGCATACCCAAATTCTTATGATTTTAGTCACTATGAATTGAACAAAGACACTCCTAGCAAAACAAAAAGAAATTTGCTCCCTAAAAGTACAGAGTTGTATAAATGAAAATCTAACTTTCTCAATGATAAAACAAAATGTTTGATGTTTGCAAAGACAACTCAAGCAAGCATTAGAACCATGAGGAGAATTTTGGTTTATGACAGGAGAATCTCATATATATTTCATATTTATACCTAAAAACCTTTCATAAAAACACTCAGATAGGCAGTCAAAGTTAACAAGAAAGACACCTGCTGAATACATTTCTAGGATGATTCAAATTTGTTTCTGCTTGTAGAATCAAAAAGTAAGCAGCATCTTCAATATAAAGGAATCACTTCATTATGCGAAAATCAAGGTAACAGGGCAAAGAACGGAACTAATGCTTCAACAAATGTATCACAACAAGCTACAAAAATATGTATGACAAAAAGAAGTATCTCACAGAAATTGAATTGCAGTCCAGTAAGTCAAACATATATAATCATACTGTTCTATCTTCAGGTTGCATACGTTTCTGGATGGCTATTATGTATGTTGTCTTGTATGAATACCTTCAATGTTCTCTCTAACTCTTCTTTTCATAATTTTGGTAACTTAGAATGCTCATCTTACATTTTGTATGAGATTTGTGGCTAATCATCAGCTTTAGTAATAGAAGTGGAGATCAAGCAAATCTTTCAGCACATCTAACTAAAACCCAACAATTTGATACAACACAAGTAATCCTCACATTCTGCATACCACACAGCTCAAGATGTACAAAGACGCATAATCCGAAGTCTGAATGAAATCTGACTTCAACGGAACTTACGAAGATTATGTTTGTATTCACATGTATTTTTGTATGCACCTTTTTCAATATACATATAAGCAATTTGATCACATTCATGAGTAGTAGCCATTTGGTACATATATATTATATATATATATATATATATATATATATATATATATATATATATATATATATATATATATATATATATATATCATGTTGTGAACTGCTACCACCAGATAGGCTGTCATGATTAGCTGGCAATAAGGTCTATTATGCAGAACAGCATCATGTGGAACTCGGTAAGGAAGTTGTTGCATAGCAAGATCTACCTAACTTACCAAAGCTAAAGCTTATACAACTATTGTGGAACACTTGAATCCAACACAAGTAAGGCAAGAGGAACATACACAACAAGCAAAATCCATCATTAGGCAACATATGCCATTAAGTCAACCTTCTTGATGAGTAGGCCCCCCCAAACATGAGCATGGGTCCAAACCAAGTGGAGTGGACCCATGTGAAAGACTAGGATAGATAGTTTATGTCACCAATTGATTGTGTGCTTCCAAGAGATTCATTAAAATAAAGTGGACCCATTTGAAGTAAAGCTTCGACAGATCTTAGATGTCATGAGATGTTTTAGCTTTGTCAAAAACAAATTTTGACTAACAGTAGAAGTTCAGAAACTTTCATGGAAGCATCCTTGCCCAGATACCAGATTGTGTATTTAACAAGTAATTATTTCTTTAGTCACAGACCGCTATCAACAGGATCTGTCGTTCGTCAACATATCAATATAATAATGACCACCGGTCCAAATAAAGGTAAATAAACGTAATAAACTTGGCAACAAAACGTACCATATCAGCTAAATTAATGCTGCAAACAAATGGTCATACTGTTTTCCCAGCATATCTGGATCTTGTGAAATGATAAAGGCATCAAATCCTTATCATCATGAGGAATCAAAATTAGGTGCAAACAACAATATCAACTTCCTAGTATATGCGATCACACGAAGAACAGGGAGAAGCGCCAATTTCAAAGGAAAAGGCAAACATCTTCATCAAAATTGATTATCTACTTTCAGAAGAAAAAGGCTTAGGTTAATAGCGATCATAGAATCAATAAAAAGGAGGATTCTTTTTGCACATAGAAGGTAAAAGAAGCGAATTTTTCACTTACTCGCTCAAGATGGCGACAGGCTTGTCCTGGGCGTCAACAAGCGCGACCCTGCGGAGGTCGCCGATGGCCCGTTTCTGGGCGTCGTCGATCGCCAGAACAATCGGGACCGACATGTTGACGACGGACCCGTCCCCGAGGCGGAGACAGTTAAAATGAAGCGTTTGGAGGAACTCGGCTTCCCTCATGAAGCCGCCAAGCGGGCTTGCCCACCCCTCGCTCAGCACGTGCACCCACTCGAGATCGATCCTCGAGAGCTTGATCTGCGGGCACCCCGCCGCCTCCCGGCGCAAAGCCTCTCTGTCCGGCCCCTCGGGCGCGACGAGGTCGACCAGCCTCCCGCCATCAGGCTCGATCAGGCTGCAGGAGACGCCGGGGCGGCGCGGGGTAGGATTCCGGCCTTTGACGGCGCCTGCGGTAGCTGCGGAGGGGAGGCGGAGGGGCGAGACGAGGCGGAGGCGGGAGGGGAGCTGCGGCTTGAAGGTGTTGAGAATCGGATGGGGAGTGCTGGGGGACTTGACGATGAAGGTGGCCATGGAAGCCATTGACGGAGGCAAATTCGGGTCTTTTTGCCCCCCTTCCTTGGCTTGCATCACATGATGCCGCAGCCTTTTAATAGATTTCGTGGTGCGTATTTGGTCTGCCGTGGCCAATTGGGAAGACATTGATGTTTCCATGGAGTGGAAGACGGGGTGGCTTGTGTGACCATGTGAAGAAACGCACCTGACTGGAAATATGGGCAGGTTCATTCAGAGGCAAAAAGGAAATCTTGAGGGGACGCATGCGGGCGGGGGAGGCTTGTGTTGTTGTGGAGCCCCGTAGAAATTGGGTGCCACTTTGTGATCGATTTGGACTTGGGTGCTTGTTTTGATACCAGTCTTCGACGTCTTTGAACGAGAGAAAAGGGCGACGGTGGACCTGCTTGGGGACGTGGCATGGGTGGATGTAGTGAAATGTTCGCAAGAAAAGATTTCCATCATAAATAAGTTTGACTAAGTTCGAGACTTTCTTTTCTTAATGTAAAACTAGAAAGATTATATACTATTAATGACGAGAGGTTCAACATGGTTATTATTAGCATGACACATTTAGTAGACAACTCGATAAACATGTCAATCGACATATGATATTTGCAAGACCATCGAATATTTCAATTGTTTGATATCAAAGCTCGACATGTGTCATTAGATAATTGATATATTAAATATTTAAATCTAAATTAACTATTAGAAGTTAATCTTAATCTTTATCCACTTACGATGTGTGATTGAATCGAAGTATTATAATCTCCCAACTTAAGGACTTAATATCTTTGTCAAAATCAAAATAACTCCGAATCAGACTCTAATAACATAAAGTATGTGAGACTTAACGTGACTCTACATAATAATATGTAGAGTCATCCTCTACACAAGATAACTATTTTATACTCGAACCTCTCACCATTATCAAATACTAGATTGATTCTAATATCATTAGTCATGATAATATAATGGGATAACTAATCTATTAATTGTGTTGAACCTAAACAACTTACTCAAAATACTTGAGCTTAAGTTAATAATAACACACCAATAGAACTTTTATAATTCAATCATATTCCTTGTGAGTATTATTAGTTGTGTGGATTAATAAGAATTTAAAGTAACAATTAATTACCAAGGTAACAACTTAATTTAACTCAAAGAAAAATGCGAGGGAAGGAGGCTTATTTTGCATGTCGATGTTTCTCTCTCTCTCTCTCTCTCTCCGTGCAAAGTACATGCAACAATCAATCTACTATGGATAATGTGGCAGGTGTCAAAGACCCCACATTTTACAGTTTTGTCTTCAGTTCTTGCAGAGATATCTCTGTAGAATCCTTCAAACACATCTAAAGCTTGTCAAGAACAGTCGATAAACTGTTTCCATGCATTGTAATGTATTAATTGAAATGTGTAAATTCCACAGACGATCCATCTCAACAAATATGACTTGTGAGGATGAGCAGCCCGACGTCCATAGAGTTTCTGCAATGATGTGGTCAGAATATAAGCACAAATGAGTGGATGCGATCAGAATGCTAAAAACAAAATGTTAGAGTGAAGGAACCCTAAAGTCCCAAGTTTTCTTAGGGTAAAGTCTCACCTATGGAAATTAAGACCCGACAAAGTCTCATTGTAGCTCTGAACACCAATATAGAACTCATGTAAAATGTACCAAAACTTTTGTTATTAGCCTCTTCTTCAGACAAAACTAAAACAAGTCGTAATGAAGAAAAATGAAGTACTCATAGCAGTCGTAAAGTTAAAGCACTCGTATCGTACTGATAATTGATTGGTACATTCGTATGGATCGATAAAACGAATCACGCTTAATAATGAGCTTGAAAATATAGAGAATAAATCGAACCACATCATGTGAATAAGATCATCTATATGCAGCTTAAAGAGAAATTGATATAGTGTTTATGAGTGGTACAGATGCTATACCGCACATCAAGGATCACAAAAAGCACAGAGGTTAACCTGTTAAATCTCTCATCCAACAAATCACCTCAGGGTCAACTTTTGCCACTTCTGAAGGAAGGATTTCTATCTTGATTTTAAGATCAGACCACAAGGTATGGGCTCAGGGATTCATGGCAAGAACCCTAAACTGAACAGAGACAAATATTGAAAGGGACATGACAGTTCCCATGCGTCTCCTCCAACCATCAATGGCAAAGGGGTGTCAAGGGAGATCGAGATGGTTGATGTTCAAAGCTGATGTGGTTGGGTGGTAACAAGGGCCATATAGAGACTCTTAGACCTTTGGAATTTACACCAAGTCTGCAATGCTGAAACATCCGAGGTACACTAAAAGAGGACTACAGCTCTTAGAGAGAGAGAGAGAGAGAGAGGTATTGGAAGCTTTTGCATGTTCTTGAGCGAAAGAAACAAAGATGTGAGAGATTACCTTTTCCTGAAGCCTCACAGTGACTGCTCACTGGCAATGACCATTGAGGCATGTTTGGGAATATTTAGAAACCAGCAAACCAAATGGGCGAAAGGCTACAAAACAAAACGTAATCTAGTGGACATGATTCCGAATAGGGTTCTCTAAGGATATTCCAAAAGTGTGCCTTTGTTCAGAAGATTTCTTAAAAGGATAGCCCAGTGAGTGTGCCAAAGTAAGAGAGATGGATAAGGTCAAACATTCTGCAACACAAGTATAGCTAGAGAAAGAATTAGTGACACCGAGCTGCAGTGGGTGTTTATTCTTTCAAGAGATGCAGCAAACTCAAGTCGGGGGTGAAGGAAGCAGTTCTAAAGATCAACAAATTGTTCTCAAAGAGAATTCATATTTTGCCCTAAAACATAAATTGGATTCACAAGCATGCAAGCATGAGTAGGTTATTTACCTGAAATCAGACTCACAGTCACAGATAAATGTTATTTTATTTAGTATGAACCCTAGCAATCCATATTTCTGATCTTATTCCTCTAATTGCACTCCACTTTGGCTAAGCCAAAATTGCTCATCGGATCATAAAACAAGTAAACAGCAGGAAAAGGGCAGCAGAGATAAAATCCTGATTAGAAGGCTTCAAATTACCAAACCTGACCCTTCTTGTTCTGCTCGATGAACCCCTTGTGAATTAGGGTTAGGGTTTTTCTTGTGCTCCCCGCAGCAGATGAAGCGGCCACATGATCTGATTCGTTTAGACAGATCTGGGAGATGATCAGATCATGCTGGCAGCTTCAGCCACTTGTGGTGCACAAAGGAATAATCGCAGGAGTACCGAGAACGAAAGAACAATAGAACAGTAACCACATGAGCGAGGAAGAGAGAGAGAGAGAGAGAGAGAGAGGAGAAAGAGGAGAGAAGAAGGTATCGATGGTTAGCTCTATGGAAAGAGTCTGCGGGAGGAGAGATAAATAGGTGAGAGAATGAAAGGAAAGGAAAGGGAAGGGATTATAATCCTCGTTATAATAATTAGTTTCCATGGACTAAGAGGAGTTAATAAAAAAGAATAATCACAAGGGGAGTGAGTGGTCCCAAAGAAAAGGAAAGGCCAAATGCATAATAATAATGTCTTACTCGCAGGCCAAGCTTTGTATATGTTCCACCTTCTGAGCTTTTAATTGCTTTTTGGAGGTCCCTCTCGTGGATCATCAACTTCTCTCTTCTCGGGGACCATTCTCGCTACCATCTTTAAACCTAGCAACCTCTCTCGTGACTCTCTCTCTCTCTCTCTCTCTCATAGATTTCGTGAGTGATTTATGGAATGTTGAGAATTCCAAATCTCACCCAATAACTTTTTTTTTTTTTCATTGTAAAAAAAAAATTACTTAAGGCAACAGAGAAAACTAAGAAAATAAATCTCCCTCCCCTTCATATACAGTCTGATCTACCAAAGCTGGCATACTTAGCAAGCAAATTAGTACTTTTATTTTTCTCCTTCAAAACATAAGAAACTTTAATGTTTACAAATATATTTAGGAGATGAAATATGTTTCTAATTGCATTCATGACTCTTTAGAAAGGCTTTCTCCCTATTTAGATTCCACTTGTATAATTAGATTCTACTTGAATTCTCTCCGACCTCTTGTTAGAGTATCATCATCTTCAATCCTTGTTGGATCTCAAGTAGTGCTTCGCTCGCCCATCCACCACCCACATAATTTTCTCAGTACAACTTGCAACATCCGAACGCTTTCAAATTTTCGTTGCTGGCATACATGTGTATATGATCACAAATATAATGAATGAATGAATGAATGGGCAGTCACATGGAACGATGATGAGTGGATGATGCTGGCAAAAGAAAAAAAAGTCACCAGATTTCATATCAAACTCTTTGCAAACTTTCTACACGGACATCATCTCCACACACTAGCCTTGAATGATGGGCAATGATGGCTATATGCAAGTCTCATATAGCCCCTGTTCATGAATCTTTGTCGTAGCAATAAGATCATGGGCAAAAAAAAAATGGATGTCTACTAATGGCTTTTTGGAGCATAAATTTAAATGTTTGTGAAATACAAATCACTTCTTATCGGGGCTTGAATTGAACGCTACTACAATGATAATGTTACAAATACATGTATCCCCGGGTGTGAACAGTTAATGTTGCTTGATGCAGGACAAATCTGCAAGAACTGCCAGACCCAAAGGTGGATTAACATAGAACAGACAACAATACTGTGGTCAAGTAGCATTTTCTACTGGAGATCGACAGTTAATGCTTATATCCTCGAAGCAAAGCTACAAAATTTTGCTGTAGCCATGTATAAAATTAGTCGTTGTGTCCGGTGACATGGGCTGCTTCTACTCTGGGGGAAACTACTGAAAGAGAGTCGTAAATATGCTTAGCAGAAGGGCGGTCAGCAGGATTTCCCCTGGTACACTGGTAGAATAGGCCCACCAAAAGCTTCAATATTTCGGCATCTGCATCAGAAAAAATGTTGGCTTGTGATATTGCTGTCTTTTCATCTGGTGATGATGACAATGCTTCCAATTCTGGTGTAAGCCTTGGGCGTTGTTGCATCTGTTAAGCCAATTTTTCAATATTAGACCTCATGATGGAAATGCTGTGAGCCAAGTGATAGCCTAGCGGATGACAAGGATCATATGGATAATCTAATACGAATTATAATAGCGACATTTCCACACAGTTAGAGCAAATTAATTCTAAGGGAAAAAGCATCAGATGGCCATTAACTTTTGATTAGGATATATCATCCTAAGAAAAGTTCTTTTTTTCTTTCACCATTAGCAAAGTCCATATTTAGCTGCGACAATAGATCTAGAAACAGATTGTTCTCCAGATGGATGCTACAATGTGAATGATCAACAAAAGCAAAAGCTTTGCAATCAGGATCCATGTTGCCAAACCAAAATTTCTGCCGCGCCAAGATTAATAAACAAGGGTTACAAAAATTTCAGTTAACAATGAGGACTATTGACAAAGGGTTCCTTAAATTTATAAAAAAATGGAAATTCGAATAAAATAGAACATCATTCATATTAAAAATGCAAAACCTTTATGGTACTTATTTAGTTGAAGGTTAAAAGAAGCCATGTAGTCATGAAAGATGAAAGACAAGCATGGGTACATCATGAGAAAAATTTGAACGCCTATGCTAATCAAAGATTGAACAAACTTACTTGCAACAGATCATATAATTCTGATTCAGATCGTCCTTGGTAAGGTACTTGAAGGGTCAGAAGCTCCAACAAGAGACATCCATATGACCAAATATCCACCTCCTGCAGCCAAATGAAGATGGTTATTTCCATAACCAAGAAACATGCAATATCATGGAAACAACAAGAACCCTCGAAACAAAGTCAAACGTTTTGAAAAGAAACACACACCACAAAAAGAAAGGTTACAAAATATGCAAGGATGGCTAGTAAAATTAATGACCAAATATTAGCAGGCAAATAGCACAAAACATGATGGAATAAAAAAGGTCTTACCAGCCCATATGGATTTTTCTTATGCATAGCTTGCACCACTTCAGGAGCCATCCACCGAGGAGTTCCTATACAAACATCAGGTGGATGTATGCCGAAATGAGCAATGCAGCAAGTATGTGCATAGCAGTGGAGAGGCACAGATATGTCGAAATCAGAGAGCTTGACAATAGGCCTTCCATCGGATCCAGTTTCCAAATCAAATAAGATGTTCTCACTTTTTATGTCCCGGTGAATTATTTGCTTAGAATGCACTTCTACCAGGGCATAGGCAACATCTCTAGCAATACATAAGGCAATATCAGCTGGAACATGTTTCTGACCCTCTTTTGTCAACTGGACCAAATAATTCTGTCATAAAGAAAAATAATCAAATAATTATAACTAATCTAGAAGCATATTAACTGTGACATGAGTAAGCACTCCAAAATTTATCTACCTTTAGTGAACCCCCATTCACATACTCCATAATGATCATAGATCGCAACAGCCTATACTCTTTTTTCCCCTCTGTCGCCGGAACCCACTTACGAGAAAGCTGATGACCATATATTTCCACTATACAGCTGTGATTCCTCAAAGCATTTAGAATTCTAACTTCTCCTAAAAGCCTGTATTCAAAATTCCTAATATCCTCATCTGATGTTTGATCTGCTTCCAAGAAACGAACCTGCAAAATTAAAGAGTAATAACTCAACATTAATGATTACAAACCATGTACCCAAGTAAAAGATGGACCATGTATGTGTGTTTACCTTTACAGCAGCATCACCAGTTCCAAATTTGCAACGCAAGAGAGAACTGCTTGTTCTACTATTGATGCCGTGGTCAAGTGAAGGAGAACGAGATGAGCATGCCGGGATTGGAGAATTCTGGGTTCCAATAGGAGCACAGAGTCGACTAAGAGGAATGTACCTAAACAGAAGGCAACAACAAATAAAGCAGCAGAAAAGTACGTTGATGGAACACAACATATATTTTCTCTGATCTTGGATTTTTCCATCTTTCATAAATTGAACTGATGATACAATAAATTGCAATTTCAATAAACAATATAGGATGCATGACCAAAAGCACCAAGTGGGTGAAAATACACATCTCAAAATAGAGAGTTTCGGACGCCCATGACATGAAATTAAAATATCTAACTTCTTCCAAGAAACAGTTACACCTTGATAGTCCCACATTGCAGGTGGATGTTGTGATGGTTTATAGGGTTACATGAGTCTATAATTATTGATTAAAACATAAGCATTTTGTATTATATGGTCCTATGCTCATCAAATTATTAGCTGATTGGATCAGGACAACTAGATTAGGGCGGATTTAATATTAGATATGACCCAAGTAAAAAGGACTAACTGCAGATGGGGCTAGAGTCACGTCATGGAGTGAAATCACTATTCGGTTAAGCCTTACAATGTTGCTCACTAGATTATGTGTGTTCCTACACTGAAAGACTATAACACCACAATCAGTCCTAAACTGAAAATAGGATAACTTTATGATGGTTTAAAGGGTATATTATCATTAACTATCTTAAATATTTTAGGTCTTATTTATCTAAGCTCATCATGTTATTGAGTTGATGGTCCGTTAGGCTCAGTCATGACAGAAACAATCATCAACTGAAGACTATTACAAAGTATCCCACCAAATGATAACGACACCCAAGGAATGAGAACAAAGACAACTAGGAATACTAGCGAGAAGCAAATAACTCAGTGAGACTGGATCCCAAATGTGATGTGAGACAATTTTAGTTTATTTCTCATTCAAATAAAATGTATCATCTTTGTGGTAATTTACAACATAATTTGTTGAATGACAACATATTTCAACATTACTACTTGGATTTTCCTAAGACAAATCTCAGGTTTGACCTAAGATACTGAAAGGAAAAGGAAGGCTAAAAATTTTAAATTCCATTGAAAATTTAATCTGTATAGAAAAAATTCTTCTTGATTGAAAAATTTATAGAGAATGAAACATATTAATAAACTATTTTATCAAAAGAAAATTTATCTGCTAAAACAAATTTGGAAATATACCTACTCCAATAAACAAAAGATCACAATATTAATATGTCTAAATGTAAGGGATGTTATTGCATTTTTCCCCAATTTTGTATTTCTTTTCTTTTCTTGTAATTATGGTCTATAAAAAGAGAAAAGAAACTGTCACTGAAGATCAATTTATTTTATTAATTGATGGTGTGATTGCGAACATGTGAAGCCTAGGATTACTCCAGTGCTAAATAAGTTTCATATTTATCATTTTATTTTTACATTTCAATTGATAACTTTTTTTATGTATTCCACAACTACAAATCCCAAAAGGAAAAAATTCCTTGTACCAAAAACCCTTTACATATCTTTTCCTCCACCAGATTTGGTATCAGCGCACCTTGTCCTACATTAAAATGGTTAACCAT